ATTCTAACCTTTCATACAATAAAAAGCTGCTGCTGTATTATAGACCTCGGATTAAAATAAAGGCAAACGACATTCTTTGTTCAATAATAGTTTTATTTACTTATTTCACTGTTAAACTTGGGGGTAATAATTCACCACAAAGTTGCAGGCATCATTTTATAGTACAGACGATTGACTTTTTTTCAGGAGAAAAGAATGAAAAGGGTTTTGACACACCTGAAATGCCTACTGAGGAAGTGCTGGCCACGAGGTAATAAAAAAAAAAGGTAAAATTCAGTGCCTTTGGCAAAGATGTGGACACTGTTTTAGATGCGAGTATGATACATGCCCCTTGCTTACAAAGCAAATATACACCCATCTGTTTTTGGACAGCGGTTTCTCTACCTACCCAAGTGCATTTCTAAACAATTCTTAGACATTTCCCCAAAAGCTTCCTGTCAAGAGAAATCAGTGTGCTGATTTGCCAACGTGGAAGCCCACTTTAATGCAATGACCCTTCCGGTCTGTACCAGACTTGGTGACAGTCCCCATATGCAAAAGACAGAAAGACCTTGCTCAAAGTGTGGCCCTCACATAGCTCTAAGCAGAATCCCAGAGGAATTTTGTCTGAAGTGTTGTACATAGGAGGTTGCGAATGCCCACGTACTGGAGGAAAATGACTAGAAAACGGAGCGTTTGTTTAATTGCTTACAGAACACGATAAAGAATTCTCTCCTAATAACTTTCCATGCCAAGCAAAACTACATGCAAGGATGTTTTAGACCAAGCTGCAGATCTTCACTTGCACAAACAGAAAACTTACGTTTATGAACTCTCCGGGCCCTCCTGATATTTCTCTTCCTAAGCCAAGCAACAAGGAGAGTCTCTCTTTGTTGACCAATCTAGCAAAAAAGTTTCTGAGTTCTTGGAATAAAATAAGAGAGTTTATGTTTTCTCTTCTGGACTCTTAAATTATTTATTCATTATCTCAAATCTATTTAAAATATTTCACCCTGTATTGCTCAGTGATATTTTATTAGATTGCCATCTTATTTACGCACCATTTTTCCTTTTCCAACTAAATAACTCTGACTGCAGCAGCATTGGACACTGATGGGCACTGAGTTTTGATAATATTTGTTATCTTAACTAATGGAGTGCTTATTAAATATTTGATGAAATTTATTGAATCCCTGCTGTTTACCAGATACTGTGATACTCGGGAGATAATCTTTTTAGTTTAAGATAGGGTTACTGGATTTTAATTTGGGTGAGGAAAGATTTACTAACACTTCCTTGCAGTTGAGAGTGTGGACCTCTTCTCCATTTACTTTTTTTGCAGACTGTCTTATGCAACTGAGACGTGAACATCCTTGGATCTCTGGGTGATTATTTGGGGCGGTCTTAGCCCAGGCCAGAGCAGTGGTGTCAGAACTCTGCGCTGAGTCTTTGTGGTTCTGCTAGAACAACCGCAGGCCCTAGTGTTAGAGCAAAGCATTCGATGTCTCCTTCCACACATCCAAGTGCACTGTCTGTCTCTGTGCGTGGAGCTGTGGGTGCAATGTGTGTCTAACAATATACTAATACTTGCTCATTATTAAAACAAAACATTGTGCAGTTATTAATACACACTTATGCTGAGTATCGTCATTTTGTGGACTTGGTCTTCTTTATTCATTCTCACTATCTTAACATGAGCTTCTTCTCTCAGACAGTAACCTAACCCTAAAGCCAGAAAAAGGAAATGGAATTCTCCACTTCCGAAGAGCACTGGGTTACTACCCTTGAAGCCCATCTCTTAGGTCTGTAATACTTATTCACACAGCATTAATCCTGGTGGAGGCTGAATATTTAGAGCCATGGAAACAAAAGAAGAGAGAGCGTGACTTAAGTCTGTAGAAAGGAAGTAGTAGAACTGTCCTTGCACCTATTAATGCTGGAATTAATACTGTTTTAAACAAGTTTGTTGCACATTGCATTGCAGAAAAATGCTCTTTCAGAGGGGGTGGTAGAAGTAGGGTTGTTTAGACTGAAGAAAAGATAACTGTTGAGTGTTATATTCTATATAGTTTCAGTCCTTTTATGAGAAATACTATTGAAAAATCAAAACAAACACTTGGCTACCCAGAAACTCTATTTGTAAGGTTGCCAGACCTCAGCTGATGGTGCCAGGTTGGAGTGGTATTGGAAACAATACGACTCCGGATTGGCCAACGCATTTTAAGAGTTCCTTAGATTTTTGTTGTGTTGAAATCTAGTAAATAAATAACTTCATGGGCATATGAAATTGGAAACTTTCAGGCATTCACCAGGTATACCATTTTACATTTATCATGGTAGCTAGTGACCTCAGTTTTGACCTGCTTGCTATCCTGCTATCCCAGTTTTGACCTGTTTTGACCTGTTTGAAAGCAAATTAGAGATACGTTGGTGCTGTTGCTTAGTTTGAGCATGAGGAGAGAACAGTGAAGGGATAGGTATGCCTGAGGACATAGACGGTGACAGCGTCTGGCCAAGAACTCAGTGTTCCTCATACCAGTACCAAATTCAATGCTTCTGTGATCATACTGTGCTTCCTGCACTTGTTCTCTGAAGCTCCCAGCGGCACACTGTCCGTTTCTCAGTGGCATGTCCCCACCTTTGAATTGTCCCTACTCAGAGGGTACAGGACACCCTTGGTGACCCCTGGGCCCCACTACAGTGTGCCTCGGGCTTCTCCACTGTGTCCCTCCTTGAGGCAGAGGCGAAGCTGCCAACCTCGCAGCAGAGCTCTGGCTCCCGCTTCTCTGCCTCCCGCACAGAGGGGCTCCAGCCCCCCGCAGAGCTAGGGGACCTGCCCGTGTGCGCCACAGGAAGTGCGACAGGGAACGCTGACATGCCTTCCAGATCTTTAGCCACTGCAGCAGCTGATGTGTATGATTTTTTTTTCTGTCGGAGTCTAGAATTATTATATATCCTATATTAAAAATGGAACCTATGTAGAGAGTGGAGGCTGGGTTTAAGAGGCAGAGAGTGATTAGGAAAAGGAGATCAGAAATGACCAGAGAGGCCACAGGGAGGTGATGGGCAATGGAGAGCAAAGTTGAGGGGAGTAGATGACCAGACAGCTCACTTCTTCTAACTGGCAAGGCCTGGAGAACAGAGATGTGTGTGCCTGTGACAGAGAGAGAGAGAGAGAGAGAGAGAGAGAGAGAGATGCTCTCCACATGTGGTTTATTTTAGGCTTGAGCAATTCTTGATCAATTCTTATTCTTTCAATTAAAGTGGATAATGCCAAAATCTCTGCAAACCTTGTTCATATGCTATGAGATAATTTGATTCCCAGTTTTGGGGATAAAGACATCTTATGTAAATGCTGGATATCTCCTCTAATGACAAGCCCTTTGAGAAATGCATGTGTCACTGATGTCCAGTGATAAACACTCACGACATCTTCAATTATACTTCAAAATTCTTCATATTCTAAAGAATCTATTTTGCTTGTTCTCCTTCTCTGAAAACAACCCAAGAGTTGGACATACCTTTCCATAAACATTCAGCAGATAGTATTTAAAAGCAGGTTTCATCTATAAGAGGCTTAAAAACAATTCTATAATAAAACCAGTAGCAAAAAAGGGGATCTAGACTCTTGGATTTGTCTCTTTTCTGCCAATGTTGGCATCGCAGAAGGACAAGGATCAGGACATAATGACGTTTAAGTAGAATTGTAATCAACCCTTGAAGTTCTGCCAAAGTTCAGGGTTGCTCCTTTTCTCACATTTAATTCTCTCTAGTTTTTTATTTTTATTTTTTTAATATATATAGGAAACAGCCCTTTTGGAAGGGAGACAGGATGAGAGTTTCCAAAAAAGATGGGAATTACTGAAGTATTGGGACACTTGAATAAGCATTCACACATTTATTAGTGCCAGGCCAACTTGAGTAATAAAATATAGGTGCAGTTGCTCACTAGACGTTTCACAGGTGGATAATACAACATTCTGTGGTTTGCTATACATGTCAGAAAATAGTCTCTGTTTTTCCTTGTTCTTTGGTTGAATGTGGGCCAAAAAAAATGATTCTCACAATTTTGCTGATTTGATTTTTTTCCCCCTTGGAATATGATTTCAAACACAATGGTGGAGGGTGGCTTTGTTCAGTTCCCATCAGGTGCGACTAAAGAGTGGTTTTAAACACTTAGGTTGAAGTGACAGTTGCCTTTTTATTACCTAGAGTTAGATACTTGCTGATGCCAACAGGACGACATTTTTCTTCTTAAGCCACATGAAAGCTCAATATATTCTATTCATTGCTCGAGTGGACTTTAAAGAACCACTTTCAAAGGACACCACGGCTGAAGACTGAAGAGTAATATTTATCAACATTAAATAAACACTTGGTGAAGTATCCATAAATATTTCTTCATATAAACATAACACAAAATTAAATAGTTCAGATACACAGACACAACTGAGTACACTTCCACTGTTGTCAAAGTCGTTTGTAAACACCAGCCCACACTGAACACAAAAGCAGCTTCTAACCCAGCTCTGGGTGCACGACACGGATGCCCTGTACAAAGGGAAGATTTCTTCGCGGCCCTCCCACCTCCCTCCCCTCCCGCTCCCCACACGGCCCCAGCAAAAGGAAAAGAGGGAACCCCAACAACTACAGCAGCAACAAGAAAGACAACGATGACAGCAGCACCCCAGCCCCTCCCCCAAATAAAACATTGAACGTTTTGGTCAATTCAAAAGATAATGCAAAACTATTTTTTTGCAAAGTGTAAGGAAACCAATTTGAAGCATTTCCTTTCGAAAGTGTCATTCTCTCTTTAGAGGACATGTAACTTAACTTCCTAAACCTTTACCTAGTCCTGGGGAAAGGTTATACAGTCATCGCCAGAAAGCACTGGCCATATAGCTAAGTAACAAAGGTGCAAGCCCTATTTTCTTTTAGAAGGTGCCAGGTAGCAAGAATTCAATTCACTGTTCTCCTTCATTCTTTGTCACATTTCTTTTTGCTTTGCCATATATATATATATATATATATATAATATATTTCTGCATGAGACATTCAAAGGTGACACTACTATTGAGTATCAAGCAGTTTAGATGGCAGAAATTTTGCTTTGACACATTCAGATCTGGATGATTAAATTCAAACATGTGGGTGTGGCTCATTCTTTTGAGCTCAGAGGGGCCCTGATTTAGCTCTGTTGAGAGAGATGCCAACAAAGGAGACTGCTGACACTCGAAGTCTGGCCAAGCCAGACCTGCCGGGAAGGCCTGGCTGCTCTCTACCCAATATTCTTCAAGGGTGGTTTGTGGAAAACAGCTCCAGTTTCAAAACCATTAAACTGGGCGTATTTCACTTTTAGGTTGTGTTAGGATCCTAGAGAACTTCAGTGACCAAAGTACTGAAAGTGTCTATTGCAGGAGTAATTGGCCAGTTCAGTGTTTCCCGTTATATTATATACAGTGTGTGCGTGCGTGCGGAACTCACACATATATATATACTTATGTATTTTTATTTGTACGAAACTTGAACTGCACAAAACAATACTTTGCAAGAATCAAGAATCAAGTCCACAAATAGAGTTTAACAAACACACCAAAGAGAAGACAGGAAGCTCTATTGGGACAAGAAGATTTCAGCTTTGCAAGGTATGAAATAATTTCAGAACCGCAGATTCACTAGCTGCTGCGTTGCACGTGGGGTCTGGATCAACAACGCTGGAATCCTTGGGAACAACGTGGCAACTGGGCCAGCTACGCTCATCTGAGGTTCCAAAGCTAATGGGAATTAAAAGACCCAGGCTAATCAATTTGGGTGTATAATTGCTGTGAAGCAATATTTTTTTTTCTTCTTTAAGAAAAAAAAAACACTTAAAGTCTATTTCAGAATATATTTCTTTATATTCAGTAGTATGCTTTTTTTTTTTTGCTGAATTGGTATTTGACTTTTTATATTAAAATGGGTTTATTCAATGGATCAGTAAACAGGCAGCTTCTTTCAAATCTGGGTGATAAAAAACATTTTTATCATCACCAGGAATCACCCCCACCCTCACCTTCCTCCTCCTCCTCCTCCTCCTCCTCCTCCTCCTAAGGTTTGTGGGTTGATGTGTGCGTTTTTGTCACTGCTATGGATAAACCTTCACCCTACAAGGCCTGCTCAGGCACGCGCTTGTGGAAAATGACCGACTGTCTTTGCTGGTACTGTTGCTTGCGCCTCTTTTTTTTGTCACACTGGCAAAGCAGCAGCATCTTGAAAGTGGTTCTGAATGTTTTGTTGCACAGGGCATAGCACACGGGGTTCACGGTGCTGTTGATGTAGCACAGCCAGTAGCCCAGATTCCAATAGGTTTTGGGGATGCAGCTGTCACAAAAAGTGTTCACCAGAACCATGATGTTGTAGGGGGTCCAGGTGACGATGAAGGCAAGCAAGATGGCGCTGAGGGTCTGGGCCGCCTTCTTCTCCTTGATGAGGGACATCCTTTTGCGCTTGGTGATCTGACTTCTGGTCTTCAGAGCAAACCTCTTGGCCAGCGTGGCTTCCTTGAAGGACAGAGGTAGAGTGGCCGCGGTCTTGCCCACTGAGGAGTTGATGTCAGAGGTCTTGGCTGTGTCCACGGCTGACTCTAGCTGGATGGGAAGCTTGGAGAAGCTTTTTGGGAAACTGCCCCCATCGTCCACGCTCTTCTGGGCCTGCAGCTTGCTGGCTTTCCTCTCCAAGTCCACCATGCCCAGCTCTTCCTCGGGCACCTGCAGGTTGTCTGAGGAGGGCAGTTTGGTGGAGTTGAGGATGGTGCTGTGCCCTGGAAGCTTGAGCACGATGGAGTAGATGGCTCTGGTCTCCGAGCCAATGTCCTCCTCGTCGGAGGAGGCGGAGTTTTCCAGGGAGGCGGCAGCGTCGTTGTTGTTCCAGCTGTCGCTGCTGCTGTGGTCTTGGTCCATCTGCTCGGCGCTGGGCTTCCAGCTCTTGGTTGTGAACCAGAAGTGGCAGCGGCCGTACTTCCTCCTGGCGGAGCGTTTCACGCTCTGCTGTTGCAGTTCGTAACTGCTGCAGCTTCGAGAACTGCCCGTGGGGTGGACAAAGTTTTCCGCCTCTGCTTCTGTCCCAGAGGCTTGCAGGCCGGCAAGCTCTTTGGTACGTTTTTCGGTTTCCTTATAGATCCTCCAGTACAAAATAGTCATAATGGTGACAGGCATATAAAAAGCAGCGATGGCCGTGCCAAAGGTAATGGTGGGCTCGCTGAGGAACTGAATGAAGCACTCCCCGGGGGGCACAGTCCTCTTCCCTACGAAGTACTGCCAGAACAGGATGGCAGGAGCCCACAGGACAAAGGAGATGACCCAAGCCAGACCGATCATCACACCGGCTCTCTTTGTTGTTCGTTTGGCTCGGTAGGTGAGTGGCCTCGTGATGGAAAAGTACCTGTCAAAGCTAATGACCAGGAGGTTCATGACGGAGGCATTGCTGGCCACATAGTCAATGGAAAGCCAGAGGTCACAGGCCAAGTTCCCCAAAGCCCATCGATTCATGATGATGTAGGTAGTAAACAGATTCATCGAAATGACACCTATAATCAGATCGGCACAAGCCAGGCTTAGCAGGAAGTAGTTGTTGACTGTCTTCAGCTGCTTGTTGACCTTAAATGATACTATCACTAGGATGTTGCCAATGATGGTCACCAGGGCCAGGATGCCCGTTAAGAACGCGATGAAGACCACCTGCCAGATGGTGTGACCTCCCAGAGGGTCATCGGCGGTGCCATTTGGGGAGGAGAAATTCCCAGCTGCTAGAGAAGCGTTGTAGCTGCCAAAATGAGTGGCTGTCCCTGGTGGCAGCCCTGCATCGGAGGGGCCGTGCAGCCAGGAAGAGCTGATGTTTGGAAACAAAGGCGAGGTTGTACTGTTATTGTGCAAGGTCATTGTGACTCTCTGACATAGTCTGGAGAAAAAAAGAGAGAAAAGATGGAGTTAGCAAAATTCTGCCTTCGTTTGTTTGTTCTTGGTGCTGCATATATTAAAAGACACGGAAGACCTATTATAGAACGCTGAATCTCAAAGAAGCCAAACATTTTTACATTCATTCTCTTATTTTAAAAGGGAGGACACTAGGGCAGGCACAGATTGACTTGTTGGAGACAGTATAATTAGTCAGTGGCATGCACTGAACGTTGTGCTTTTCTCTACATTTCTAAATATATTCCATGTAGTGCTGTTATCAAACAAAATCGCCCTTACTTCTCTTCTTTTGTAAAGGGGAAAACTAGTAGATGCTTATATGACACTTATTCAACACAGCTTTATCAAACTGCCACTTGATAAATTAACTTGATTTATTTGCATTTATTCATCTGGGCATTTTACCTATCTGAGGCTTCAGGTGTAAATAATTTTAAGGTGATACAAGCCATTTAAGCCTCCCTGGAATGAGCAATGCCAACCCAGACAAGGGGAGAAAATAAGTATAAATTAATTCACATTATATTTAAAACATGGATTGGGAAATATGTCATTCCTTCTAACAATCGGTAACATGACCACCTACAAGGCAGCGATCTTCTGCTTGACCGCACGAGAAAGAGCTTTTACCAGAATGTTTTGAATGGACCAACCCGTTTTGCATTATTTCTAGTATTTAGATGTTTTAACTCCAATAATGAAAAAGTATTTTAGCACATAACACTTGTAAATTGTTGCAACTTTGCAATTAGTGTTTTCGTACACTTGCTACCAAAGTATATAAACAACTAAGACTCATTACAATCAAGGTGTCACTAATAAGATCCCCATGGTGGTGTCGCCAGCCTTGGCTGTGACCTGTACCATCCTCTCAGGACCTCCAGGGCTGTACAGGGACACCACTGGCTCAGGAATTCCCACATCACCAATGGTTGTGGACTAGACCCAGTAACTCATTCCTCAGGGAGTGTCATTTTATGAATTCAAAGTATGATCATCAAAGCAAAAATCTGTTGGGTACACTTCTGTTGTGTTTATGCTCTTGGTTAAAAAAAGTCTTCAACTCGGCCAGGAGTGGTAGCTCATGCCTGTAGTCTCAGCTACTTGGGAGGCTGAGGCAGGAGGATCGTTTAAGCCCAGCAGTTCAAGGCTGCAGTGAGCTATGATTGTGCCACTGCACTGCAGCCTGGCTAACAGAGTGAGACCCTGGATCTAAAAAAAAAAAAAGTCTTCAACTGTAAACTCTTACAAATAAATATATTTATATGCATGTATATCACAAGAGTCCTAAAGTCAAGCCTTGCAGTATTGCATGCCTAGGGTAAAGTGTCTCTCAAATGAGTGCAATCAGATTCAACAGAAACTTCTGGAAAGGCTTTCTGGTGTAGCGGAAAAGAATGTAGAGACAATAGGGCTTGGTTCCAATCTCAGTTTGACCACTTCCTGGAGGTGGGGTCTTCATGGATATTGTTTATTGGATATTGGGTATTGGATATTGTTTATTCTCTGAATCCCAGTTTCCTTATTGAAAAATGGGCATGACAATTTTCTGAAAAAATGGAATAAATTGTTGATAAATTCCTCCCAGAATTCAATCAAAAGTGATCAAAGAAGATTTGTTTCTCATCGACATATTTTAAGATACATAAAGTACCTTAGAACAGGGCCTGGCACATGGTAAGTGCTATGTGAGTATCTACCATTCCTATCTTATTATTCTTTTTACCGAACAATGAACTCACTTTGCTTTTGGCTGTGAGGATGCTCAGAGCTAAACTTAGTGCAATAATAAATGTCAAAAGAAAATATTTATTGGACATTTACTATGCGGTACACATTGTATCATATATACGATCTCATGTAATCCTTACAAATAATCACATTTTACAGGAAAGGGTGACACAGAGAATTAAGTAATTTGTTCAAGTATTTGAGCTAATGAAGAGGGGTTGAGGGATGGAGAGAGTCACAGGCAGACATTCGGAGCCCACAGCCACCATGTGTAGCTGTGATGTTATCCTGCCTCTCCACCAGCTCCTTCCAGTGTCCGGAACAACTAGCTCCTCCTAACTGGCTCAGAATCATTACACACCTCTTTAAAGTGGAATTGATGTGCATTTAAAAATGAATGAGATGTCCGTTGCCACGAAAAAGACTGGCAAAAATGCAAATGTTCTAAAACATCCAGTGTTGACAATAGTGTGAGGTTAGTTAATACCCATGGTTTTGGGGTTGCAATGGAAATTGGTCAATCATTTGAAAGGAAACTTGGCAGTATCTGTAAAAAATAAAAATGCCAAAATCCGTGATCTCAGAAGCTGTCTGACTCTGCACGTGTGTGTATAGTATGTGCATACATAATACCTACACAGTTAGAGAGAAACACGCTCACATGCACATATATACATACACGTGCCTATTCACTTTAATACTCCCTGAAATAATACAAAATTGCTAATAGTCTAAATATTCTAATATGATACTCGGTTACAGAGAATAGTTTAAATAATTCTGTATAATCTATCACTATTTTCCCATAGATGAAATCTCCCACACTACACTAATTTCTGATTTTAGCGAACTGGTGGGCTTTTTTCTCCTTTAATTCTTTTTACTTCTTTGAATTTAATTAAGTGATGTCAAAGCATCCTCATCTCTGGTCCCCGCTCACTGAGGGATGTCTGTTTGTGAAGTCTCACACGCTGTTTGGAGCACTCCATTACGTATGCGGTTTCTTCCACGGCGCATGTATAGAAGATCTGTCTGCTTGCTCTCTGTGCGCTCAGATCCTGGGCGTTTGCTGTGTTATTCCCATTGCACCTGAGACTAGGATGGATGAGGACAGGCAGCTCAGGACGGCGCCCCGTCTCTGAAGTTAATATCTACTATCACTGCTGGTCTACCGGGCATCTCGGCTGCCTCCTGAATGCCCTGCACCCCACATGCTGATCAATGGCACTTTAATTCTCGTTAGATTACCCTTAATCACACATTTCTTGTTTCCCAGCCCCAGATCCTCCTAATTTCTTACATACTCTTTGACCAGCCTTTCTCTTACCAATGTCTCGTTCCCTCCCAAGATTCCTGGACGTAGCAGCTGAATTCTCCTCGTCCACTGCTTGGGTGGTGTTGCAGGCTTTTGTGCAACCCTCCCTTTGCGACCCAAACCCTCTGAATCTCACAGAAACTTCTACAGCCCCTTTTAAAACTCCTATCCATTCAAACATTTTCTACGTCTCTGCTTTCATGCCCCACGGGAAACGATCATGTTCTGTGGCCTCATTTTCAGGTCTTACGCCATGCTGATTTTATTATAAATAAATATAATGCCCAATAATCCCATGCTTCATATCTGTTCTCTCTCTCTCTCTTTTTCTTTTTTGCTTGCTAAGGTCATGCAGTGGGTGTCTGTTATCTGTCTTCCCTTCTAAAATCTGTCCTTTTAGAAATTGCTTATATGCATTTCAGGACAGGCATTGATTACATGGTCTTGAGTTCTCTGCCACAGTAATGGACTTGAAGAAGACCCAAGCAGGAAGGCCAACTGGAGAATTGATATGGGTGCCGGAAAGAGAGAGAGTAATTCTCTTATCTTTGGGATTACTAGGTGCTGGTCACAGAGCTTTGTAAGGGAGAAGTAAGCAAACATAGAGGAAAGACACAGGGAAGGAAAGAGATGGGAAGGAATACGGGAAACAGAGACAACATGATGATAATGTTCTTTGAAACCTGGATTTAGCCACTCTCAAAGTCAACACCACCTCCTTGACCTTACTGGTTATGTGAGCCAACAAATTTCCTTCATTGCCTGGACTCCCTGAGACAGTGTCTGTCATATGCAACTAAAAGGGTCTTGATTAACATATTCTGTCTTTGTCGACACTGACACACGCTCACTGAAGCCACTGCCAGCTTTGGATTAAGATGATTGGTGCTGTAGAATTCAACAAGGCACAGCCTCTGCCCTCCACGAATCACCCCTAGATGAGAGATGGGACGTGAATAAAATCCTTTAAAAAGCACAAAGTTATTTAGTCAATACCAAATTGCTCCCTGTGAATAATCACATTACGTTTGTATGAATTCAATAGCAACTCAATTTGCTCAGTTGACCTATATTATCTAAGGATATAAGCAAGAATTGAGATTAGCCTAAAGTCAATATTTTTTTTTAGTCCATTTCATCCTGTGAGTCTGTAAAGCACCACACAATGAATAGTTTTCTAGTCCAATTGTGCTTTGTTGGAATATAGAAAACAAAAGAAACCAGAATTGAGGAAAGATACACTCAGGTGAGTCTAGCACTCTATGTCATGTTCATTAAATACATGTCTGGATGCTTCTTGCCTAATCATTAGAAAACCTTTATATCACAAACTGTCAGGCAGGGGATCTCTGACCTGTATTTTCTGGCATATCTACCAACGGCCATCATTCTTCTTATAATTCAACACTAATTCAATATCTAATACCTTTTTGAAATTCTTGGGGATGTGTTTTTGCTTATTTTAAAAATGTTCCCTTCTTTTTCTGTCATATAATGGATATAGTTAAGGGCTGAGAAAAAATTTTAAAGCTATAAAGGGACCATTAAAGGGAATGACCTGTAGTCACTTGCTTACCTGTGTGGCACAACATCCAAAGGAAAATAGTTAATAAGTTAATAGTTAATAATAACCATGGCATTCCTGATGACCACCCTTGAGTTTCCTTCTAATAACTGCATATGTGAAAGCAACAAGAAATAAGTGAATAAGTGGTAGATGAACATATCTTTGAGGAAAAGAAAACCTTTTGAATGAGAAGCTGAAATTATCAATATGAGCAAAGCACATTACTAAAACCCAGTATGACTTGCAGCTATGAAGACAGAAATGTCTAGGAAATTGCGGGCACTCATCTGATGCTATGATGGAATGAGATACATCAATACCTCTTCTAATAATAAATACGATGTTCGCATCATCATTAATCATTTTTCAT